GAGAACTAATAGTGTACATAATGAGGCCATTGTTATTTCAGGAAATGGCTTAAGGTAGCTTTTTATCAAATTTTCTTTTCTCCTTCATTTTTTTCAATAAATGATAATCCAGCCTATCTGGACTAGAAGCAAATTTGCTAGTCCTCCAAGTTTATATTATTTCTTGCTGTTTTCCAAGAAAATATAAAACAAATAAATTCTTTTTCTTTTGAGTTATTTAATGGGAAATATAATTGTCCATGAGGAAGTGGGTAAATGGAAGAACCTTGAGATTCAGGGAGAGGATTTGCTAATGTAACACTCACTGTTTCTTCAATTCGCTGTAATGAGTAAGCTGTACCTCAGCTGAATCCAAATTCAGTAGCTCTGGAATCTTTTCATGATGTGACTTCAGTATTAAATCATTTGCTGTCTGCCAGAACCTTGAATTGCTATTGGTAATTTTTCCTGTGTTTGTATCTTGTGATATATCACAGGATATTAGTGGGAAGAAGTATTTAGAGCAGTGCTCTCAATGTTAAATATACAAATAAATCATGTGGCGATCTTGTTAAAATGCCAACTCAGACTCAGCACGTCTGGGGAAAGCCTGAGATTCTGTATTTCCAGTTGCTACAGACAGTTCCACTGCTGCTGCAGAGGAGACTAACTTTGACTATCAGGGATCAGGTGGGTGCTGCAAACTTGCTGCAACACCACCTTCTAAATACGGGACATGTGATTGTAAGCACAGGCTCCTGATTTTTAAGGACAGGCTGGAGGACATCATCATTCAGGAATACTATCAGGTTAATGTTGTGTTGCTCTAGTGCAGGGGCCATAACGGATTTCCAAGTATTTTGTTGTCATGGAGTGTTCTTCACTGGATCCAGTGGTTACTGCTGAACAATGATTTCTTTTTATAGGTTTTCAAAGTCTGTTGTGCTCAATTAGCATTTTTTCCAGGAAAGATAGAATATAGCCTCTGCTATTTGTGGGAAGGTGGGACAGCAGACTCTGAGTGTCTGTGTGTGTGTGTGTGTGTGTGTGTGTGTGTGTGAGTGTGTGTGTGTGTGTGTGTGTGTGTGTGTGTATGAGAGAGAGAGACAGAGAGAGAGAGAGGAAAAGTAGGGAATGCGATGGGGAAGAAAGGAGACTTTGAGAGAAATAAGAAAATATGAGGATAATTGCATCAACATTTGTTTCTTTTCGGTGACTAGTAGCAATATAAACAATCTAGTCTGTGAACGAAGAATATATATATGTGAAAAACTCACTAGAGAAGCTGGGAACACTTCTGCACTTGCCCATATCATTAATAAAGCCTGCAGGAGGAAGCTTTTTTTTTCTTTTTCTTTTCTTGCTTTCTACCTTTCAATTCCAAGGAAGCAATTTCTAGAAAGCTTTTATGATTTGAGGTCACCAGCACCTAGACATCAATAAATTTGGAAATGGAAGGAGCAGGAGGCCATATGATATGCAAACCTAAGAAAAGAAGCTTAAACAGCTCAAGTGAGGATCTTAGTGTTTACAGTGATTTTTGCACATTATTTTACGTGTTCCTCCCTATGCCATCTCTCATTCCACTATGCACAGAAAACAATACTATATGAACCATTCCTATGACATGTAGTGTACCTGTCATTGAATGGTCTCTTCAAAGAGTAGTAGAAAAATCACAGAGGATTGTCTAGAGTTCCCTAAGATAAAACTAAGACAC